GCTATTCACAGAAAAACGGAAAAATAAACCTGCCCCCCACCCTTTCCACGTCCCCCTTTTCTGCGCCTCGAGCGCGCGCTCAAGTGTGCTGGTTCTGGGGGTGTGGACTGAGAGTGAAACACACGCGAAAACGGGAGGAGGGACTTATGGGGTAAATGCAACTCGGCTAACACTGACAGGCCTTCATTAATATAAATGCGGGCCGTGCGTGCGGCTTGCCACCGTCCAGCTACCAGGAGCCGATCGAGACTCCCGTGCTTGGCAAACCAAAACGTCGAACCACCTCTTCTAAGTGAATAAGGCCGGAACTCGAACAGACTAAGACTCAAATCCGATAAACAGCTCTTAAACATTTTCCTCCATACGGAGGCCGAGGGGCATAACGAAGCACGGGGTCCATTCTGACTCTTCCAGAGCCACAGCCATTTCAGGGCCACTGCGGCTGTCAAGGTGACAGACTCTGCTGCACCTGTTCTTTTTCCACCTTTTGTTAACCCTAAACTGATCACAGCAGGTGCAGTTCCAGAAGTCATAGAGATGTCTGAATTTCGGATGCCTAGAACCTCTCCTGTCCTTAGCATGGCATAGAAGCACACAAGTATGGAAACTGAAAAATTGAAATGCCCATGAAAGAATCCCCAGCCAGCCATGGCCAAGACCGCTTGCTCGGGGAGGGGTGGAGCCCTGTTTGGGATTTGCTGGGTATTCCAAGTCTTCATCAGCCTCCAGGTCTGCTGCAAGTGCCCTTTCAGCTTCGGATCTAGGTCTTGCAACCCTGCAATGGTATCTGAGGCGAGGCCGCGTCCTTCGCCCTCTGACCATAAAAACTCTATGTATTCAGAAACAAGGGAATCAAACCTGTCACGTTTGGTCGGGATCTCAATCTGGTTGCGGTGCAAGAAATCATAGAATCGGTCTCGTGCATTTTTTGTAGCGTGCTTGTGTCTTACTAGAAACTGTTAGACCCTTCAAAGGCCCCAGGGCCTTTCGCTGACGTTTCCTATCCTCCTTGCTACGACCTTCTAACACACGTGATTTTACTTTAGCCATTTCTTCCTCAGCGGCCGCCTGCTAGGGCGATCCGCGGGGTTCATCGACGTGTGGATGTACCCCCACAGGGGGGTGCAGGTCAGCAGCAAGTAGATAGGAGTTCAGTTGCATAATGATGGGTCTAAGGCGCCGACTTGAGCTTCTACCTCTAGTAAGAGCATGGAGACATACCAAGCTATCTGTCAAATGCAGGATCCGCATTCCTACTCTCTTGCACCGCCAAATCTTCCATTTGATACTAGTCAGTATGGCACGCAGCTCTACAGCGTTGATGTGTTCACCAGAATGCTTCCATCTCCAGCCACTGATCTCGCGCCATTTCCACAATCGGCCCGGCACGCTTGCACGCAGTCGGAAATACCGAGGAGCTGGGTCACTCCCGCTCTGTACCATGAGGTCCTCACCCTTCATGGAAGACAGGCCAACGAGCTTTTTGACCATCAATTCGGTGTCCGCATCTTCGACCAAGGCATGGCGTCCGCGCAGGGGTGGCCGAGTCAACATAGTTGAGAAATCTGAGGCCTGTCCTGGAGTCAAACTCCGAAGCAACTGCTGGAGGTCACTCACCTTACACAACCCCAAAGGCAGTGTCAGTTGCCGTATGAGCCAAGCAACTACTGCTACATGCCACGAATTGCCTAGCAGCGTGAGCCTGATGTCTTCATACGCTTCACCCTGTTGCTGACCCTTAGGCACGCAATTCCTTGTGTACCCTACCGGAAACCCCAAACAGGCCTCACGTTCCGCGGAGTCAGGGCGCCTCCATTCACCTCGTTTACTCCAAAGACCATTGGCATCTTTATATTGGTACGGCGGAAAGCGAAAGGCATCCTGAACCCAGCGAGCCTTCTCATGCTCCTGACAACCATTGATACCTGCTGGCCTCCTGCCTGGGCTACCTCGAGGACGTGATGTGGTAAAGGTGGGCAAGTACCCACCTTCCCTGAGGCTCCACCCTGGCTGCAAGAACGCCTTCGCGTCAACTTCACCCCAAAGTCGCACGCTCCCACAACCAGTGTAGGAGTCCCCTTCAGGCTCCTCAACGCATGCACCTGCCTCAGAGCGCAGCTCCCAGGTGACCCAATACAACCGCGGCCTTGAGCATAACGAGATGTCTCTAGAGTCGATACGAAAGGGTGCACGCTCGAACTTCCTGCTCATGATAACCCGATCAGTTTCAGACATGGAGGCCACATTCTCTACAAGCTCATGAACCTGCGCCCAGTGAAAGATGCGTTTGATGCTGGACGTGATACGTGGGATTTCCTGGAACAAGGAACTCCTAGCATCTCTCAAGGCACCCTGTTTGTCGGCATTTAAACCTGAAACGCCTTGACACGGCGGCCCAGCGCCTACTATGATCAGGCCCACATTGCTGTACTTAAGTGACAGTTGCAGAATCTCCTCCTCACCAAAGTTTGTAACATCTTCGAAGAAGTCACACTCAGGGAAAAAACTTTCAACCACTCGTTGACAGTGAGGGTTCTGCTCAATGCTCACATGCCCTGCCATTGGCAGGCCCAACACGTCACAAGCCACGCGCAGAGCACCGATTCCATCGAACAAACCAATAGAGAGGACTTGTACAAGGTCATGTTCCTCAGGAAGGTCGCCCCTACAGCAGGCGTTGAGTGCCGCATGCCCGTATTCACTCAGGCCTTTGGAAGCACAGAGTCCACCCCCATACGACGAAGCGTCAGAGCACGTGACCTCACCATCCACCTTAGCCCTAAACTCCATCTGAGCGAGGGGGGTGAGCAGGATAAACCTAGCGATCTCAACCTTCACCTGGTAGGGAAGAGGCAAACGAACCACAGGAGCCTCGCACTCAAAAGCGCGCATGTGTTCGAAAACTGCGTTCAACGAGCACAGCAGCGCTCTCCTAAACATGCACAGGTAAACGAAACCACCGCACACCACCTGCAGTTCCCTCAAGGTCGAATGGCCCCGCTGCAACAACTCAAACCCTAACCTACAATACTGAACAACTTTGGCCGGCTTGGCCATAGCGAAACCACGCTCGCCGTCAAGCAGTGCACCCTGCATCTCACCTACACTTGAACGTTGCACAGCCTTCTTTGGGTGGCGGGGTAACCCTAGAGCCTCATACGCCTCCCGGAGTTGCTCAACCTGAGTGGCCACTGTGCCCTTGATGCTCTCGGCTAGGCTCGCTTGCACTCGCTCCAAACAATCAAAGTTGTCTAGATAGGTGCGAAACAACAGATTTGAGTTTGACAGCCCCTTGTCCTTACGAACCTCACACTCTCCCCCAATGACAGGTTGACAGTGTTGTGCACTAAGCCTCACTACATTCCTATGGACGTGTTGAGCGATCGACACCGAGTTCACAAACCCCATAGGTAACACTTTCGAGCCTAACACACACGGCTGACCCCGCCATCTTTCAGGAACCAGGGTCTCAGGCAACATGCGGTTGAACCCCAAGTATCCCTTCCAACACTGAGGCACAGCGAACAAATAGAAGAAGCACCTGATGTCCTCGCTTGAGAGGAGGACCACCTCTCCATCGTCCAACAAGTACCCATTCATGCCTGAGAGTGCCGGTAGGGTCCCTACGTCTCCGGCCAAGGGTCGGCATAGAGCGTTGACCGGTGTCAAATTCATGATCAGCCTCTGGGTTTCAATGCCATTCACATATTCGCCCTTGCCAACCGCAAATAGTCCGTTCAGGACTGGCTGTCCATTCAGGTGGTATACTTTATCCAGGGGCATGGCTTCCGCTATCCCCCGCTCTAGGAGTCCTGTTGCCAGGGCCTCCCACTGTCCCTCCTGGACCATGACTCGAGGTGGAGTGGTGTAGATCCTAGCTTCTTCAGGAACTAAATATTTCTCGAAATCTTGTATGTATGCAAGCGTCCCCAAACGGCAAAATCTGCAAGCGGCAACGAACCGACTCCCTCGGGCAACGATTGTTTGACTGCTTCCCATGAAAGTTTCTGAGCCGTCTTGATTTCGTCACCCTGGTAATTCACCCCTCGTCCCTTGAAAAACGAATCAAAGTTAACCTCCTCGTTAGACACACCCCACATGTGATTTCGCTGCACAAGACGCGACACACTTTTTTCCGCTCTTGATCGAAGTCCACGCTCATCTTCGTGAGCCGGTGAAGTTGGAGAACTCGAGGAAGTAGTCAAGGCCTTCGATGCTCCGAATCCAGCCAAATGATTGAGAGCCATGAATGCCCCACGCGCTGCTTCCTCAGTCAGCCGGCGCGGAGTCCCTTCCTCCTCAAGCTCCTCCATTCTCACCTGTCGCAGTGGGAACAAAGGGTTCCGCCGATCCGGAAGGGTCTCCATGTTGGAGCGCATTGTATTGGTGCTGTCTTTCATCAAAACGCTGGCTGACTGCTGGATGATGTCAAGCATACTCAAACCAGGAGCCTTTGCTTCTCGCTCTTGGGCTCCCGATCCAAGTCTATTGAATTCCTCTGCCTCCACCTCCCTGCCACCAGGAGGTGATTGCTCTGTACCAGGAGCCTGCCGGGCTCCCGTGTGTAGATCTTCTATTGCTTCTTTTTGCCGTCGCCCTTCTCCTTCTTGCTCCTCTCTCTGTCGCGGTCCTTGTCTTTGCCGTCTCCTTTGTCTCCTTTGGACTTCCCCTTCTCCTTGTATCGGTCTCTGAAGTCGGGGTACTTCCCTGTCGCCTTGCCATAGATCTTGTTCTCCTCGTGAGCTGTTCTGCCCGCCTGATGAAGTTCGCTTGAGCTCGCCAAGCCGTAGTGATCGACCTGAATCAGCTCGAGCTGTTTGATCAAATCGACCTTCATGCCCTTTGCTAAAGCCTCCAACGATTTCAGCCTTTGTGACATCACGTCGCAGGCTGCGGCAACCTTCCCCTGGACCATCAGATCCAGGGCGGCTGCCCAATGGATTGCCTCTCGGTATATCACCGGTGACATAGCTGAGCCCATTTGCTGCCTCACATACTGCGATGTCAGCGGCTGTAGTTGACCTGTCGTCGATGACATACTCCCCATCTGTAATAGCAGCTTAGCATGCTGCGATGCGCGTCTTGCAGCAACTGAGCAGTCAAGACTCCCGGCAGGCGCTCCCACATCTTTTGGGTGCTGGTCTGAGGAGTGAACAGCTCCCCGAAGTGCCCTTCGCTCGCACTCATCTGGCTCGAGGAGTCCGAGCTCTCCGAACTCCCGCTGGTCGAGGTATCTTTGTTCCTCCCTTTCTTGCTCAACTTTCGTGCCCTGTGCCTGAACCGCTTGCGCTTGAAGGGATTCTCGTCCATGCCCGTGTTCTTGAAGAGGCTTGAATACTCCTTCACCCCTTCGATCCTCAGCTTGGCCTTCTTCTTTTTCTTCTTCTTCTTCTTGCGCTCCTCCGAGTCCCCCGAATTCCCAGGGGCTTTTGCCACCTCTGCATCGGGTCGTGGTACCGCTGGAAGTCCTCGTCCTTTTCCTCGTGATGCAGCCTCCAAACGAACCCTCTCGAGCTCGTCCCTCTCTGCCTCGCCTCGACTGGTCTCCAAGTTCTTCTCCCAAGCAACTTCTCCGTCTCGATGTCGTCTGACCTGAACCACATGAATCAGCCCGTCCTCCCAGGTCTTCTTGTCGCACCTCACCCCGCATAGATGAAGACGAACTGTTTTGGCTGGCACTCCACTGATGTACCGGAGAAGCCCCTCGCTTGAAGTTCCCATGGCCTTTCCCAGGAGCTCTCGATCCCCCCCGACTGGCCTTCAGCTCGATCATCTCCACAATGCAGTCGACTGCCTCCTCCCAGTACTCTCCTTGGACTCGAATCAAAGGCCAAGCCTCCAGCTGTGCCAAGGTGACCTCCTCTGCGGCCACCCATTCCTCCTCGCTCTCCACCACCAGGGCAGCGGGCCTCCTCCTCACGCCCCTCGGCCGCCCTGCCTCTGCCGCTGGCCTCCTCTTGGGTGCCATAGCCTCGCGCCTCTCTGCTGCTCCCTTCGCCTCCTCCAATAATCCTGATTTCTGAAGACGTGCTTCTTGCCTTTAGACTTCTTCTTCTTGGGCTTGTCGGATCCACCCCAGTTCTGTCGACCCCAACGGCCTCTCCCGAATCCAGGAGGTGGCCCGGGCGGTTCCCTAGGCTTGGGTCGATCTGCCGGTGGAGCCTCTGCCTCCTCCTCGACGAACTCCTTCTCCTGGTCTGCTTCGCCTGCTTCACTCTCTCCTCCTTCTTCCTCTGTGCCAAGCTCGGCCTGTGGTGGCGGGCTCCGGGGCGGTGTTCTCTCTCTCCGCCTCCGGTCACGCCTTCTTGACCTGCTCCTTGACCTCCGAGTTCGAGCTCTCTCCTTTGACCTTTTTCTTTTACGATCTTCTTCACGACTTTCTTTCGATGGCCTGGGCCTACGGCTACTCTCCTTCTCTTTTTGTCGCTCTGCTCGCTTCTCCTCCACGTCGGCCACGGGCTCCTTGTTGTCCGCGGGTTGCTCCTCTTTGACCTCTGTCTCAACAAGTTGATCTCCTTCGTCTCGTCGATCACGCTTCCGCAGCCGGGCCAGGGGTGGCAGACCCCGACCTTTGCTGCTGATCCCGCCCACTTCTCTGTCAGGCGGAGGGCTGCTTTCAGCCCAGGTTGTATCAGGAGCCGCCGCTCCCGCCCTACCAGGAGCCGCCGCTCCCGAGTCCTCCAGGGGAGCCTCCCCCGCAATCCCAGGAGTTTTCACTCCCGAGTCACCAGGGAGTGTCCTCCCCGAACCACTGGCCTCGCCGCTCGCCCCAGGAGGAAGTTCAGGACTGGCCACCTTTACCCTCAACGCGTGCTCCAGAAGCCTGGTGTAGATGCCCTCGAGCAAGGGCACAGCCGATGTCCTGACCTCCTCCCGCGTCCCAGCGCTCAGCAGAAAGCTGCTAAGCCTTGCCAGGATGCTGCAGCACCGGCAGCCACAGCTCGCGTAGTCGTGGGCGAGCTTACCACTCATACGCTGAAGCCAGAACACTGCAATGAAACATGAACCATGCTCGTTTTTACTTACGAAACGACGGACCATATATACTCTTGCGTTGCAAATTGCAAAGTGGAGGGTTGAAAGCAGCTGGTCTCCTGCAGCACGGCAAAGCTGCGACCAGGAATTTCAGGCCCTGAATGGATCTTTGGTGCGTCGCAGGCTTTTTAATGTACGTAGGGTTTAGATGGGTTTTGCCGTTCTAGAAGCAACCGAAGAAAAAACATAGCAACCATGGGTTGGAAACAAATGATCCATTTGCAGCTGTCCACATGGTCTGTCAGTTCTCACATGGATCAGCACACCCCATTTCATTTCTGCTCAAAGAACTGCTGAGGTGGTTGCCAAGTACTTGCTCCGGGAGCACCACCCTGGGCAAGAGTCTGGTAAGAGTCTTTTAGTAGCACTGCGCGAGCCAACTGTCCATCCTACGCTCAGGTCCTAGGACGTTTAAGCTTAAGCCCAACCCCAAGACACTTCATCCCGTGCGCTCGAAAAACTTGACCCGATGGCACCTGCCATCATCCAAAGTCACAGCTTCACCCTGCTTGAGCCGCCCCATCCTCAGTACCGTTCTGTAAAAGCTACCGCAATTGGCCCGTTGCTGCAACACAGCTTCAACAAGATTCAAATTCATGAATAGCTCCAAACCTGGTGCACAGAAGTACACAACTCAACCTGCTCTCATTGCGACAACAACAAAGGCCCCTACAACGAATTGCGAGGAATGCCCAGCTTTTGCGCCTACAGGGCAATGAATATCATCTAACAGAGGTGTCAGTCAAGTCCATGCACCCAGCTCTGTAATGACATGTCGTTGAGCAATAGATTAGAAGAACACATTCTATGAGAAAATCTACTTGCAGGGAGCAGGAGTGAGGAGCACTTTAACCATGGAAGGGTGGCTCACAATGTCTCAGCGTCTGTTAATCAGAGCTCTTTTTCGTAGGGGTTGAGATACATGATGCACATAAAATGATTGCCTGTTGTGTCTTGCATTGAGTGAGACTATGACTCAAACACACTATTTGATCCGAGTTCCCTCTGTTAGTGCCTTGGCTGCATCTAACTTGCCCGGGCGGTCAAGTTCTTTGAGAATGTAACCCCAATCCTGGCAGCACAGATCCTCCATCAAACAACTCTCATGATCTCTCATGTCATGCATCTAGTACACTGGCAAGCCCAGCAGCTTTAATAGACCCAGCCCTCACCACTTGAAGTCAGTGTTCAAGCCAGGCCACTGGGATACCATGAACCAGCGGCACAGCTGTGATGCGAAGTCCAGCCTCAACACGGCCATGAAAAAGCACTGGAATTGCAGATTACTACTAGAACAATCAGGCTATATCAGCTGCTCAGGATCACTTTGTCTGTCACTGATTCCAAGCAGCCATCCTTGGGCAAATCCAGCCTAGGCCTAAAAGCAATGCTACTGCCAAGTCTTATACACATAGCAAAATGCATAATGATGTTCATCTTTGGTTTATCAACCAATCACCCTGAAATAAATGTCACCTGCCCCTACTGAGGCATCGACCAACATACCCAGCTCCACAGCCTCCGCATGTCTGCAACGATCTGGGTGGAAGCCGAGGCCTTTGGGTCCTGGCTCGCCGGCTCGTTGATGAGGAAGGGCTCTCTGGGTCGCTTCTTTTGGCCCGCTCCCCACCCCCTCCCTAAATTAAGTGAGGATAGTAAGGGAGTAAACAAGCTACTAGCAATACTTAAGTTACTGCATATGGACGCAGGATAGCTTCCTTGAAGAAGCACTTGCACTAAAGATTTGGTTCCTTTTTTGGGGGGAATGTCTTCTCAGTGCAAGTCTTAGAGATCATGTCTTCTTTTCCGCAATTCGTAACAAGAAGCTACTAGGGGCTCCTGGCATCGCTACTAGGAGCGATCGGACGCTGCTAGGGGCTCCAGGCCTTACCACTAGGAGCAAGAGGACGCTAGGCTCCTGGCCTTCTACAAATCATCCATTCCGATTCGTGGAATGAGTCACTCGAACTCCGTGTCGCGTTTCGCTCGGTCCCGACCTGAGCCAGACGGTCCCACCAGGTCCTCTCCTGGTTTAGCGCGGTTCGGTCCACCACTTCGGAGAGTGGAAACTGATACAAATCACGTGTGTTCATTTAGTAAATGCAGATAATACAAACAAATCATATACATCATATCTATCTCAATACGACTATGTACATCCAATATATATGCATATCTATGCAATGTACTTAGTACTAAGATGATCGATGTACTAAGCCCATCTAAAGTCTAAATCATTCCAAATCCACGCTTTGCCAACCTCCAGCCCCTGTGTTTGGAATCTCGAGGTACTCGATGTTGAAAGATTCCTGCCAAGATGTTGCAAGGACACCTCTCCACCTCTCTGCCTCGATCCCTTGGTTCTTCTCACAGGGTTTTGGTTGTCCGTTCTCGTCTCCGCACACGTTGAATCAAGAGCTGGAGGTTTGTTGAGCTGGACAGTGGACTTTTGTCAATGCTCTTTTTCAACTCTCTTTCATTCTGACCGTCCTTCCAAGCTGAAAATCCTCATAGACTGCAAACATTCTGCAGTTTATCTATGGTCCCACAAATGCCCTATGTTCCATTTAAAGCAAAGGCGTGTGGGACCATAGAGGTACGTCAGCGAACACCATAGAGGTGCACCTGAAGCAAACACACCCTGTCCTCCGGAGCCCATCCGCCAGTGAAGCGAAGCATTGACTCCACCATGTCCTGAATCCTCAATCAGCCAACATGAAGCGTCAGCCAACTAGGACGCGACGATCGGGGCTCCTGGCCTTACTACTAGTAACAAGAAGCTACTAGGGGCTCCCCATGTATCTCGTCATATTGATTCCTAATGTCTCCCCGTTGGGAACCTTCACATGTTGTCGGTTGAAACAAGTGGAGGAACCTCATGAAACCTTCATTTCGAATGATGCTCATCCAAAGCAGTCCCACCAGGTTCATGGACCACATCTTCTTCAAATGCGTAGCATTTCACATCTTCAATGAAATTCATGTGGAATCCACCTGCCCCTTATGGTCATGATTGCTGAGATCGTAAGTGTCCCTTTGAATGGGACATTCCCCATCTATCCCCATCTCATAGTAGCATTTGCAAGATTTGGCAAGTGTGATTGGGAATGATTCTTAGTTTGGATATGTTTGGATGATTTACGCAAGTCATGCCAGTACCGGAGATGCCTCTCCCACTATTGGTGTCATGGCACCAGCCCGGAATGGACCACCATGAAGACTGACAGTGACTGACAGGCTTGGCGAAGGCCCCCCTGAGACTCCGACCCTTGCGGGCCAACAATCAGGATAGGGTCCTTCCAATTGGAAAATATGGAAACTCTCGCCATGTTTCTTCAATGTCCTTCTCTTCAGGTCGAGCCTAAAAAGCTATATTTTGAGTCGATTGCGTTCAGCAAAAGCAATCCAAAGGGTCCTTCCGACCCTCTATTGCAGCGGTGCTCAACCTGGGCGATGTGAAATGCTGGTCGACTGGCTTCGCTGGATCTGATCGATGGATCTGGTCTCGAGAAAACTCGTCACTGGGCGTCCAACACACCAAAAAGACCGAAGCAGTGATCTCCATGGAGATGAGTGAGCAAAATCACCTGCAAAAAGGACTCTGTGAAGTTCTTAGAGGGGGGGTCTCTCACCTCCTCCTGTAGAAATAACATAGAGCTGGGAAGCCCCTGGTGGTCCTTGACATACAGTACCTATCCTGCAAATGTCAGGCTGCGAATAGTATTTAGGGAAACCTGCAAACCAGTTCGGAAAAACACGGAAAGCGGAGCAGCTGCATTTTATTGCTGGGTAGTCGGACCTCTTTTTTTTCATGGCTTTAACGGTGTTGTACGTACACTACGCAGAAGACCACCTGCCCAAGTCGAACGGCAGAGAAAACAAGTATATAACCTTACACTTGTCGGACCTAAGTCTGTCGGGTTTTTACGATGTTATACGCACATGACGCAAAAAGACTACCTGCCCAAGTCAAACGGCAGAGAAAAACAGCCAAGTCGACGAACATCGCCGCAAAAAAGTAAAATAACAGCAGCAAAGCCTTCAACATAGATCCCACAGCCCCAATCACTTCCAACATACCTCCACGAGAAGCCCCAACAGAGCCCCAACATTGGGCGAAACGTGCCAACATGGAGAAGGATATGCCCTAAGAATGCACCAAGATCGCCGAAGATTGGTGCAAACATGCCCCAAATTTGACTGCCCATTGGAGCAAGCGTTCGTAAGCAACAAAAACGACAAAACTGTCAAAGCCACCTTTCTTACACTTGTCGGACCTCATTTTCATGGATTTATGGCGTTTTACGCACAGCACGCAAAAAACCACCTGCCAAGTCAAACAGGGCAGAGAAAAAGCAGCCAAGTGGACCAACATGGCCGCAAAACATAACAGCAGCAAAGCCTTCAACATAGCCCTGATCTAGACCCCA